GCGGGGCACTACCTGTAGAGCAGGAAGAGCACGGCGAGCGCGGGCACGAGCAGCGCCATGGAGACGCCGTACGCCGCCACCAGTTCCAGCGTGCGCCGGCGCTGCGCCGCCAGGGGCGCCGTGGCGCAGCCCGAGTAGTTGGAGCGCCGCGCCCACGTCCCGTTCACGCCGCAGAAACGCCGGGCCAACCCGCCGCCTGCAATACGAGGGTGGGCAACACTTCACGAACGACCAAGGGTACGACGCCTGGAGCATAGACAGCTTTTAGATTTATTTACAATTCTGAAATTAAGTGTGAGAACTTGGTGGCAGAATACATTAACTTAACATTACAGAACTTAACAACTATACAAAATCTACAAACTTTACAAAAATCACGTGAACATTTCACCGTGCAACTACCGTAGAACCGTAGAACTCCACTTCACCACACTTCACTTCACCAACTTCACTTCACCACATTTCACTTAACCACATTTCACTTCACCGCACTGCGATACAGCGAGCTGTAATGTCTTTCTTACTCACTCGTTTCTCTCAGTTTCACAATGTCACTGCACTGCACACAATAATAATAATAATAATAATAATGATAATAACATTAATAATAATAATGATAATAACATTAATAATAATGATGATAATAACATTAATAATAATACTTAATTTCAAAGAAGACATAGGTAATTTACACTGAATTTTATTAACATAACATATCTACATTCAAGAAACTAATTTATTTTTAAATTTGCTCAGGCTTTGAGGAAAGGGATCGAAGATTGTCACAGGCAAACTGTTCCAGTCCCTAATAGTGCGATTCTCGAATGAATATTTCCCAACGTCTATTTTCTGAATTCTTGTCTGAATTTTGTGCATGTGATCAGCTCTGCCGAAATATGTAGCTTTCCCTAATCGAGTTTGAATTTCTTTCCACGAATTTTCGCGGAATGCAAGGCGGGGTAGGTATTTGGAGTGTGCACAACTTTTCATGAACGATAAAGTGTGGCGCCTGGAGGATACTTTTTTTTTTCGTGCAACACGCGTCGGTGTTGGCGTTTGGTGGGTGAACAACTGTTCGCAAAGTATAAGGGTTGTCGCCTGGCGGATAGGCAACTTGCAATACACAGTGCAACGGGCGATTGTAGGGAGGACAACTCTTCATGGGGGAGTAAAGAGGTGGCACCTGAAGGATACAGAGCTTTCCATGTAACATGCGAAGGGAACGGATATTGGAGGATGAACAAGTCTTTACAAAGTAGAAGTCTTTCAACAATTCATACATTTACTTCCCCAGGAACATTTGACAAAAGAAACTTCATGCATTCGTTATTTCGAGTACTCATTTGTCGATTTTCAAATCGTTTCTCTCAATCACACGTTATACAGAATATTTTGAAGCCTATTAATTAAAATTATATTTCCAAAAATTGCAAACAAAATCGCGTTCCTCACTTACATTCTTAATCATCGGTCGTACAATTTCTAAATATTTGGAACTTTATTTGTAAAAACACAAATAAAGGTTTTCTGTAGGCTCATACTTTTCTGAGACAATCGACATGTGCGCACATATTGCACTTGATGAGTCAGTAAGGAAACCCATTGACAAAACTGAATATCGATGATCCCTGAGTAATAAATACTCTTTATTCTATTTGCGGGCAGGAAGTGGTTACAAAATAGGCAGCACATCGGACTGCTTATGTAGCAACTCTTCAAAATTTGTATGTTAAGTTCCCTCCTAGACTTTGAATATGTTTAGAGAAGCTGAATCCTAATTTGTAATACATTTTCACGCCAGTAAATTAAAGAATTGCCTACCGACAAATGTTAACGTAAACATATCTCGCTATTATCGTCTTACATAGCACAGAAGATACTTCCCTCTTATTTTCAGAAAAACATTAGGAATCCCTATTTTCCGACGGTATTCTTTGGAACCTCATGAGGATGCAGGAAGGAAAGCAGAAATTCATGCGTCTGAAGAAAGGAAATTCATTCATGGAGGACCCAGGCGACCTTTTGGAACTCTAACTGCTTAAGTTTGCCGACACCTCTGAGGAAGCCATGAGACTTCCTTCTGGTGCCTAGCGTGGCTTTGCGAGATAGTCCGAAATACGACTGCCATTGGGAGCCCAAGAAGCCGAAAGATCACGATCACCGGGAAAGGAGCAAAGGAACGTTCTTTTGCAACCCAAGCTGCTCAAGAACGCAAATCAGACCAGGAGACGTACGTTTTTTTTCAGGATTCCTGAACGACTGCAAGAGTGATACTCACCAAAATAGGAACCATACTTTTCCTTTTAGATCTCGTCTCGCCAGGCGCAGAGCTACTCACCGGAGCACGATGATTGCAACCTTCTCTTGGTACCTAGAGTTTATAAAGGACTGATTCTAAGCCGAACCGAAGCAACGCAACTAGTGTAGCGAGGCGCTCAGTGCAGGTGAAGGGAAGACAGACTCACCTGCGCAGGAGGTTTCTACGCTCGTGCGGGTGATGTGGGAGGGGCAAGATAGCAGCGCCATGGAGTTAGAAGCCGCCTCGTCCCAGCAGCCCCAGCCGTCCCACACGGGCGGACACGAGCCTGCCACACGACACATGGACATGATAACAATTTATCCACTAATTACGACATTCAAATTGGACGGGATGCCATAATCCAAATGAAACTTCACTTGGCAGATATCTCATTGTATAATTTATAGACTTGGTTGCATTTTTTGTTATTGTCTACATCTTTTATTTTAATGTGAAGAATGCAATATAAGTGATGCAAGTTGTTATTTAGCATTACAAATACCGCTCCTCCTAGAGCACTTTAAAAATTTAGATTCAAATTTCAATTTAAAATAAAACGTGTCGAATAACGATATTATTAAAAACTCTGCACGAAACAGTGAAGCGTGCTAAACGCCAATACTGACTAGAAAATTCTGAGAAGAAAAATATTTTGTGTTACTGGTCAGTCATCAATGTCCGAAAGAATAGGGATGGCTAGAGCGCAAGGAAATGTGGCGGCATTGCACCTTGCTGCCTACGGAAATGTACTGCATGACAAAGAGTAAGTTATGTGTTACATGAATGGTATCCAATCCAATTTGGTTGTCGTAATAAGTGTTCTTTCAATAAATAATAATGAAGGGAACGACATTCAGTAATTTAAAGAATATCAAATACATAGGAGATCGATAAACGAATGGTTTTGACTCCGGACACATTGGACACCGAACACTTCCGCGACCGGGTTAATTTTCGTATAAAATCACCCCACATAGTAAATTCAAGAAGAAACGGTATGTGTAAACATATATGACAGAAAAACAATTGACATTCTAATTCTAAGTAAGAGGGAGAGAGCGAGGAGAGAGAAGGGGAGAGAGATGGAGAAAAAAGTCTAAGAAGAAAGAGACAGATATTGGAGATAGATAATGATAATGTAGATGGAAGACTATATATACTTTGTTATATTTGTAGTAGCGCTTGACGTGAATCAGATATTGACGATGCGATCTAATCGGGAGCTTGAACGTCACAAGCTTGAAAGCAACAGATGGTTCACGTCATGCGCCACTACAAATATATCAAAGTGTAGCTAAAGATCGAGGGCTTTGAGGGAGATCAAATGTGAAATCGGTGGTAAGATGAATTTGGCATGGCTATGGAGGTGAGGATGGAGGTGACGATGCAGGTGAAGGTGGAGGTGGAGGTGGAGGTGGAGGTGGAGGTGGAGGTGAAGGTGAAGGTGGAGGTGAAGGTGGAGGTGAAGGTGGAGGTGGAGGTGAAGGTGGAGGTGAAGGTGGAGGTAAAGGTGAAGGTGGAGGTGAAGGTGGAGGTGAAGGTGGAGGTGAAGGTGGAGGTGGTGGAGGTGAAGGTGGAGGTGAAGGTGGAGGTGAAAGTGGAGGTGAGGTGGAGGTGCGGTGCGGTAAGGTGAGGTGAAGAGGGGTTGAGGTAGGAGTGAGGGCGAGTTCAATGTAAATCTGAAGTGGGGTGAGGTAAAGGGGAGGTGAGTGCGAGGTGAAGGCAAAATGGAGACAGGGTGAAGATGAGGTAAGAATGAGATGAAACCTGGAATGAAGTGAAACGAAGTGGAGGTGAGTCATAGTTTATTGAAGTGAAGCGAGACGCTGTGCACTGACCGGCGGCGGGCTTGGGCGCGGGCAGCAGTCGCTGTGTGCAGCAGCGGCGCGCGGCCTCGCAACACGCCTCCCACTGGCGCCGCTCCGCCTCCGTCAACAGGGCCCCGGGTCCCTCCTCCACCACCTGCCGACAAGACGCCATTCACTTTAATTCATTTTCCTTCCCCCGCCACCTGCCGAAAAGACACCATTCACTTTGATTCGTTTTCCCTTCACCACCTCACAACGAAACACCATTCACTTTGATTCATTTTCCCTCCCCCCTCACAGCGAGATGACATGCACTTTGATTCATTTTCCCTCGTTCCCCACCTGCCGACAAGACGCCATTCACTTTGATTCATTGTCCGTCCTTCCCCAACTGCCGACAAGCCCCCATTCACTTTTATTCCTTTTTTCCTTCTCCGCCATCTACCAACAAGCAACCGAGCGTAGAAGTCAACTGACAAGAGATTCACTGTAATTCATTTTCCCTCCTCCACCACCTGCCCACAAGCCAAGTACAATTCGTCTGAAAAACCATTCACTCCTATTCATCTTCCCTCTTCCCCCTGCCAAAATAATGAATCAATATGCCATCAAGACACTTCACATGGAATTCAACTCACGAGAAACGATACCAGTTCATTCTCTTTTGCTTGAACTATTGCATCAATTATAGTATTTTACTTCCATTTCATTCATACCCTGAACTACGTCTTTAATATTCTAGTAAAGTAACAGTAACAGTAGAATGAGGGTTTATATTCACGAATGGAAATTTTTGAAATGATAAAATGTGTAACGATTTCCAATATTTCCACACTTTCCGAGATCATTACGCCTCTCTGTGGTTAGGCGGATATTCCAATTCTGCTGTTCTTTCCGTCGCGGTTGACCACACTTTTTCCGCTGATGAAATGTCCGTGGGTAATTCGCCATGAAAGCAACCCAGAATAATTAGCTGCAGATTGCCAAGACTCTGTAACCAATGTTATCCTAACTGTCCCATGATGTTTCACTATATATTTTTTAATCCTGAAAATAATGGTATTTCACCAAATCAATTAAAAGCAGACTTACGAAATTTAGCGATTATGTCCACTTACACAAATGAAACATAATCATCAAATTTAATTTGATTTATTTTAGTCTAAAAACAGTAATAACTGCCTACGATGTATGAGAAAGAAATACAGATTCCTAAATAAAAAAGACAAGACAGTGGTGAATGAAAGCGGCCGGAGTCGTATCTACTTGGATGTCCAGCAGATGCCGCGGCTTAGACACAGATGCCAACGTTTCGGCCGTCATGCTGAGATCTTCAGAATGAATAGTCCATGCATGTCCCGGGCAGCTAAGTAGATACTTATGCGATGGTAAAGTTCCTAACTCAATAAAGAGAGGCTTGCAAGAATCACGCGGATGGCATTTACTTATATTCGAACAATTTTTTCTGAAATCTAAAAGTCAGGTTAGTAAAGTTTGTGCTTTTCCAGAATATTGTGCCGTATCTCAGGTAGGATATAAGGGCACTCACAACATACAGAATGAGCTGCATGAATACAGACTAAATAGGAAAGAATTATGATAGCCAAGCATATTGATTTCAATGTAGGTTTAATTCATTTATATGGGTATGCCATTTGATGTTTGACTGAAGTGAGAGACCCAGAAATTTTGTAATCTTAACAGAGAGGGTAGCCAATTACATATTGTTTATTATCAATGGTGCATGCAATTGTCTATTTAAAATGCAAAACTGCCTTGAAACTCTTTTTCCTTCGTTAACTACTGTTCACTACTATTTGTTACTACAAAACGAATTTGAAGTATCTAAAATCGTACTTCTTATTGAGTTTCAGATTCAGTGGAAATAAGACCTACGCCTTCTTTACAAGTGTATTTTACTAATCCATTAAAATAAATTTAAATAAAAAAATGGGACCACTATTGAGAAAATTTAGAAAATGTCCTAGAAACTTGAATGAAGTACCAAAACGTAGAAAATCTTTTCAAAATCGCAGAGTTTTCATTAGGGCGAAATCGATCGGGCAATATTAATTTAGAAAAAAATATACGAACTGTTTATGCGATAGTGTTGTTTACCAATGGACGGAGAGACGGCCGTTAAAGAAACAACGCTTTGTCGGTATACACCAGATCGTGTTTAACCATTAACATCCTACAATCGATTTTCTGCAGTATTACATAACTGTCTATACATAACGTGTATTATTCGGGATATATGAGAAAGTAAAATAGTATGTCTTTTGGTATTTATTTAACAATATATGTCGAAATTGAGATTGGGCCAACATATTTTTGAGAAGTATAATGGGAACTAATCCGATAGCCAATAAACCTCCCACCTATGAGAGGTGCAATCGATAAGGAAAATAATAACACCCAAAACTTGCGAGGTGCTTCATTTCCAAAGGAACTAGACGGCCTCAGAAAAGAGCCGGTTGTGGGAGCTACAGCAGACATTCGTGGGAGTTACAGCAGACTGGTTGACGAAATTCTATAGGAAGGCATTGTGTGAAGGACGAGGTCTGTGTTAGAGAAGGATTATCCTAAGGATGGGATGATTTGACAGCTAGTGCTGGCAACACAACTGACGATTCTGTGTCCTTGAACTAAGACCGTGCTCACAAACCGCCGCTCACAACGCCGCTCACAAACCGCGCCTCACAACCGGGCCGCCACAACGCCGCTCACAACCGCCCGCTCACAACCGCCGCTCACAACGCCACCTAGATCTCGGCACACGTGTCCCTGCCAACCCACCCACCCCTAATCTCACACCCATTTCGCCTCTACGCAACGCCTCCCGCTCTGTCCCGCTCCGCACCCATCCCCCGCCCCCGCCCTGGCCCTATCCAACCCCTCCAACAAATATGGTTTGGAGAGCAACTTTCAACTGTTGAATGATATTCCACCAAAACTTTCGCTAAAAATACGGGAAAAATCAGGAAATATATTTTATTTCGTTAATGCTCTAACCTTGATTCCATCGTTACGCATGCTTATGATGAATTCCTTACGAAGACTGAAAAAGCATTAAAGTTAACCGTACGCATAATACGAGAAATAGGAGCAGTAATAATGTGCTTAAAATTAGTTGTTAGCGAACCATCACAATTTTAAAGTTGTATATTAATTGGTATATTTACAAATATCGTATAAGATCTTTGGTGGTCACCTGTTTAGATTCAAAGGTTTTTTTGAGATGACCAATTGGTAACAGTTTCTATTTAACTGCATATCAACGTTTAGCACAAAATCGCCCACCGTTTTGAATTTAAGAAGTTGAATAATATCTGTGTTTTTTATAGAAAGTAATGATTCAGTATAAATTTATTCTTTTACCATATTATGATTACCACAAGATATCTGCTAAACACTCCACGGAATTTTCATAATTTATCATTTATTCATTTTCATGAATATAACGTTATACTTAGATTGCTGAAATTGCTGATAATCAT